TGGGGGAGAGGCAGGTTGGGGAGTTTGGGGCGCTTTCTAGGTTTTTTTTTCCTTCAAAGTACCGATGGATCAGGTTTTCCAGAAAGAGTTAAAAAAGCAAGCCCCAAACCAAAATCCAGACTTTGGCTCAGGAGCGGCGGGAGTTGAGTCTGAGGGCCGTGCTCTCAAGACCCCTCTCTGAATGTCACATTAGCCACAGGCAGGATGGCAGGAAACCGCGCGTCTCAGTTCGGAGGGGATGCCTTCCTTCCACCCCAAATCCGTCTTCCCTCACGCCTGCCGCCCTGTCTCTCCCGGAGCGCCCCCAAACCCGCCATCCCAGCAGCAGCACCCGCTTGTTTCCATTCTAGTTTAACTTTTGGGAGTGGGATCTGCATACACACAGCCGCCCACACCCTGAGGGTGCGACTCGTGACCCCGGCAGGAAAGCAACTCCCAGGTCTAGGAAGAGGGCTTCACGGTGCCCAGAGGGCTGCCTTTCTCCCCGAGGGGCCACAGACTGAGCTTCTAGCACCCAGACGGGTCTCCCCGAGGCGCCACGGGCTCAGCTTCTAGCACCCAGATGGTTTTGCCTGATTCTTCACTTCATGTAATCAAATCACACAGTTTGCATTTTCCTGAATCTGACTTTTCTTGCTCCCATCGTGTTTGCTCGGTGACCCACAGCCTCTCAGCTCCGGGGGTCCGGCTGAGGGTCTCCCCGTTTCTCAGCGTTTCGTCTCATTTCTCTGCTGCCCCCACAGGAAAGCATATTATCTCGCTAAAATGCATCTGTGATGCTCTAAGTCCCCCACTTACCTCTCTTGTGCGGCTTCCTGTCCCACCCTCGTGAGCACGGCCTCCGAGGCCCTGGGGAGCTCAGTGTTGCCATCAGCACCCCCACCCCAGTGCTTCTGTCCCCGGTGCTGGGGGCACGTTACCTTACAGCCCCGCTCCCCCCCGACGCCCTCCGCCAAGCCTGTGGTCACCCTGTTCCTCTTCCTGGAGTGCCGGGCACCCCGGTCTCTGCTGGTGAGTGTTTAACGCTCCTTAGAATCGTCTCTGGTCCTCTCCCGGCAGAATTCAGGTCCTGGCCCCTTCTCGTGATCTGGCACCGCTTGCCACATGCGTGCACTGGAGCACTGTTTGAACCGCAGCATTGTGTTCTGTTGTTGTTTTGTTTTTAATATCCAAGTCCCCAGAGAGTTTGAGTTCCAGTTCAGCCTTAGCATTTCTGGCTAGCAAAGGATCTAGAATGTAACAGGGACCTAGAAACGTTTGGGGGTAGGTGAATTAGTGATGCACGAATGAGTGATGCAGTTGTGTCTCGTGGGAGTTTCTCCAACTCTTGATTCACGGAGGCCTGGACTTGAATTCCTCAGTGACCAGATTTACCCAGACGTCTAACTTTTCTGAATATCAGCTTAATGGTCTTTAAAAGGTAGATAACTATAATAATAACTCCCATACCAGACTCAAAATATGTTTACGAGCCCGGCCGGTATAGCTCAGTGGTTGAGCGGTGACCTATGAACTAGGAGGTCGCAGTTTGATTCCTGATGTGGGTTTTTTTAAAAAATATATATATTTACAAAGCACAAGTACATGAATGCTTATGTATTTTTATAAAATATAAATTGTTATGAATATTTATAATGAATGCTTTCATAGAATGACCTCTCAGTTTTAAGGCAATAAAAGCAAAGTTAACTAAAGTGGTTGAAGTATAGGATGGGCAGTGTGTCCTGCAAGTGCGATGTCTGGCTCATCGAGAAAAATCTATTTTGGTGATGATTAAAAATTTAAATTGAGCCCTGGCCAGGTAGCTCAGGTGGTTAGAGTGTCGTCCCAATATACCAAGGTTGTGGTGAAGGGGACATATAAGAATCAGCCAATGATGTATCAATAAGTGGAACAACTCGATGCTCCTGCCCCCCCTATTCTTCTCTCTAAAATCAATCAATAAAAAAATTTAAAAAAATTTTTTTAATTCACATTATAATTTAAATTCATTTTTGTTTAAATGTACAATATATTTAAAATGAAAACCTATGCCCTGGCCAGTGTGCTCAGTAGATGGAGCGTCGGCCATGCACCAAAGGGGGGAGGCTTTGGCCCCTTCCCCGCGTCTCTCCCCCGGTTCCTTCAGTGTCCTCACCTTTTCATCCCCGACACCTCTCTCCTCAAACTCGCCCAGAGCTTCCCCGCTGGCACGGGAGTCGTCCTTCTGGGAAAACAGTTTCCCTTCCGGAGGTTACCACCCCTATTTGACCAAATCTTTAGGGAACAAAGTTTTATTGGGTTATAACGATTGTCACACAAGGAGCCCCCTAGCCTGGGAGCTTGTGAATGGTGTGGTGACACCAGTGCTCCCTGTCTAGTCGGAGACACAGCTGAGAGGGGAAAGGAAGGACCAGCAGCTGTGGCTTGGGGGCCCCTACCCGGGATTGTTCCGGGCAAGGTGGGAGGAAGGGTGACCCTCTTTATAAAGTTCCTTGGGGAGAACACGACTCGCCACGCGGGGCCGAGGGGAAGTCCTGGGCTCAGTCACCAGACAGGAAAGGGAAACCCAGGCAGCAGCCTGTATTGTGGTTTCTGTGGGAAGAAGCAGACAGGGCAGGACAGGCCGGCCCTGCACGGGCCAGTCTGGACCACTGCAGCAGGCTCTGGGCACGGGGGCGGCCCTGCTCCTGGCCCCCGGCCCGGGGTGCGCAGGGCGGCCAGCAGTGCCCCAGGTGAGCCTGGGGGCGGGGGTAGGCGTGTTCACATGACTGGCTGGCCAAGGAGAGGAGCTGACCAGCCTGCGGCCAGGGCCTGGAAACGGGGTCCAGATTGCATTTCTAGCCTGGCCAGAGCGGCTCAGGGGTTGAGTGTTGATCCATGAAACAGGAGGTGACGGTCCGATTCCCGGTCGGGGCACATGCCCAGGTTTGGGGCTGGATCCCCAGTAGGGGGTGTGCAGGAGGCAGCCGATCGATGACTCTCATCACTCCCTCTCCCTCTGATGTTTCTCTCTCTCTCCCCCTCGCCCTCCCTCTCTGTCTGAAATCTATGAAAGCATATTTAAAAAAATAAATAATAAAAAAATATAATAATATTTTTATATAAATATATAAATAATAAAATATAAATAATAGCACTTTTTAAAGCTGCGTTATAGCCGCATGGATTAAATGGCCAAGCACCCCGTTCAATACTTCCTGGGCACAAGACTTGTTGAGTAAATGGATTATCGAGACAGGTCCTCAGGGAACTGCGTGGCAGGCACACTGCGCGGCGTCCGCTACGGCGCGTTATTGCATTTCAGAAAATTAGAAAGAAAGCCCCTGGAAGAGAGCGAGCCCCGTCCTTACGAAGGGTCACGTGTGAGAGTCATCAGACCCTGAACAAGGCTGAAAGCCCAGTGGGCGGAAGCCAGGCCCTCACAGCTCAGAGCGCAGAGCGAGTTCACCCAGAAGGCTCGACGGGGCCCAGCTACTGACCACCCAGCCATTTTAAAACAGTCCAGTCCTCACTTTAATTTCTCAGTTTACAGTTTCTTTTTGCAGGAAAATCCTAAAAGAAGTTTCCAAAAGAAGGGAGTAAATCAATAGAGAGCGAGTCCAGGTTTCTAGGGCAAAAGACGTGGCCCATGGGGGGGAGGGTCTCCCAGGACCATGCCGAGCGACACCCCAGGGCTGAGTGGCCGATAAGGAACATTCTAGATTGTTCTAGATTGGGGGTGGGGGAGGGTGTCCTGCTTTGCAAATCCCTGGGTGGCTTCGTCACGCCCGTGGGGCTCGGAGGCAATTCCATCACCCGTGTAGCTAACTCCCTGCATCAAGGGCACCCGTGTTGATACAGGAAGACGCCACCGACAACTGCAGGCGGCTTATTTACCTGGCGAAACCCTGGGTTACACACGGTTATCCCCAGAGGGTGGGGTTGACGGGGGCTGGACTTGGAGGAGGGGGGAGAGTGAGAAGTTTCATTTCATTTCTGTGGCGCCGAGAACATAAGACTTTTGCCACCAAGACAGTAACGGGTGCTGGTGGCGGGAGAAACAGGAGGAACGTGTGCGTTTCGTCTCCCCAGGTATGGAGAAGGTGAACTTCTCGGGCGGGGAGCCCTTCCTGCAGGACCGGGGCGAGTACGTGGGCCAGCTGGTGAAGTTCTGCAAACAGGAGCTGCGCCTGCCCAGCGTGAGCATCGTCAGCAACGGGAGCATGATCCGGGAGCGCTGGTTTGTGAATTACGGTGAGCTCGCCCCCCACGCCCCCCTGCTGCGGCCCGGGCTCTACCGCCTTCGGGCCTGGGCCCTGGGCCCTGGGCCAGGCCTGCGGGGGGGAGGGACAGGGGACGGGGGACCGGTGAGGGACCCAAACACGCTTATTCTAACCTCTTCTCAAGCTGTGCGGCGAGTTAAGGACGCGTTGGTTCTGCNGTGGGAGGAAGGGTGACCCTCTTTATAAAGTTCCTTGGGGAGAACACGACTCGCCACGCGGGGCCGAGGGGAAGTCCTGGGCTCAGTCACCAGACAGGAAAGGGAAACCCAGGCAGCAGCCTGTATTGTGGTTTCTGTGGGAAGAAGCAGACAGGGCAGGACAGGCCGGCCCTGCACGGGCCAGTCTGGACCACTGCAGCAGGCTCTGGGCACGGGGGCGGCCCTGCTCCTGGCCCCCGGCCCGGGGTGCGCAGGGCGGCCAGCAGTGCCCCAGGTGAGCCTGGGGGCGGGGGTAGGCGTGTTCACATGACTGGCTGGCCAAGGAGAGGAGCTGACCAGCCTGCGGCCAGGGCCTGGAAACGGGGTCCAGATTGCATTTCTAGCCTGGCCAGAGCGGCTCAGGGGTTGAGTGTTGATCCATGAAACAGGAGGTGACGGTCCGATTCCCGGTCGGGGCACATGCCCAGGTTTGGGGCTGGATCCCCAGTAGGGGGTGTGCAGGAGGCAGCCGATCGATGACTCTCATCACTCCCTCTCCCTCTGATGTTTCTCTCTCTCTCCCCCTCGCCCTCCCTCTCTGTCTGAAATCTATGAAAGCATATTTAAAAAAATAAATAATAAAAAAATATAATAATATTTTTATATAAATATATAAATAATAAAATATAAATAATAGCACTTTTTAAAGCTGCGTTATAGCCGCATGGATTAAATGGCCAAGCACCCCGTTCAATACTTCCTGGGCACAAGACTTGTTGAGTAAATGGATTATCGAGACAGGTCCTCAGGGAACTGCGTGGCAGGCACACTGCGCGGCGTCCGCTACGGCGCGTTATTGCATTTCAGAAAATTAGAAAGAAAGCCCCTGGAAGAGAGCGAGCCCCGTCCTTACGAAGGGTCACGTGTGAGAGTCATCAGACCCTGAACAAGGCTGAAAGCCCAGTGGGCGGAAGCCAGGCCCTCACAGCTCAGAGCGCAGAGCGAGTTCACCCAGAAGGCTCGACGGGGCCCAGCTACTGACCACCCAGCCATTTTAAAACAGTCCAGTCCTCACTTTAATTTCTCAGTTTACAGTTTCTTTTTGCAGGAAAATCCTAAAAGAAGTTTCCAAAAGAAGGGAGTAAATCAATAGAGAGCGAGTCCAGGTTTCTAGGGCAAAAGACGTGGCCCATGGGGGGGAGGGTCTCCCAGGACCATGCCGAGCGACACCCCAGGGCTGAGTGGCCGATAAGGAACATTCTAGATTGTTCTAGATTGGGGGTGGGGGAGGGTGTCCTGCTTTGCAAATCCCTGGGTGGCTTCGTCACGCCCGTGGGGCTCGGAGGCAATTCCATCACCCGTGTAGCTAACTCCCTGCATCAAGGGCACCCGTGTTGATACAGGAAGACGCCACCGACAACTGCAGGCGGCTTATTTACCTGGCGAAACCCTGGGTTACACACGGTTATCCCCAGAGGGTGGGGTTGACGGGGGCTGGACTTGGAGGAGGGGGGAGAGTGAGAAGTTTCATTTCATTTCTGTGGCGCCGAGAACATAAGACTTTTGCCACCAAGACAGTAACGGGTGCTGGTGGCGGGAGAAACAGGAGGAACGTGTGCGTTTCGTCTCCCCAGGTATGGAGAAGGTGAACTTCTCGGGCGGGGAGCCCTTCCTGCAGGACCGGGGCGAGTACGTGGGCCAGCTGGTGAAGTTCTGCAAACAGGAGCTGCGCCTGCCCAGCGTGAGCATCGTCAGCAACGGGAGCATGATCCGGGAGCGCTGGTTCGTGAATTACGGTGAGCTTGCCCCCCACGCCCGCCTGCTGCGGCCCGGGCTCTACCGCCTTCGGGCCTGGGCCCTGGGCCCTGGGCCAGGCCTGCGGGGGGGAGGGACAGGGGACGGGGGACCGGTGAGGGACCCAAACACGCTTATTCTAACCTCTTCTCAAGCTGTGCGGCGAGTTAAGGACGCGTTGGTTCTGCAGGCGGCCGGTAAACAAGTGTGGCCAGGCAGATAACAGAGACGCCAGCCAGCCGGTGTCGCTCTCCGGTCCTTCCCGCAGGGCAGGTGCTGAGGCTTAGGCTCTAGCTGAGCGACCTGCAGGGATCGTAACACAGCTCACAGCAGGGAAAATAAACACAGCTCGCAGTGTGCAAGCCCGGCCGGCAGTCTGCTATCAATTTTTTTTAAATACTTACAGAACTAGCCATTCTAGTCTCAGATAAACTAAGCTATTGGACTAACACAGCCGCTCTCACTGTCCCTGGAACCCCTGGTTTCTATCACTCGAGTGGTTTTGAGGGGTGACTTTGCAGTCAGCTGCGCACAACCCCAGAAGTGGGGAGGCTCACACTCGGTCAAGTGCGAGGACGCGGCCGGCGGTGGAAAATCCGGCGCTTGAGAGGCAGGTGGGCGGGGGACCGCTCCGGGAGCAGCCCGGGGTTGTCTAACCACTCACCGTGCACGTGAAGCTGACACAGGATAATACTGAGCTTAAACCGTAGTTAAAATAAAATAAAATGAACTGCAAAAAAGAGACCGGTGATGGTGCGCGAGGCAACGGAAACCAAAGGAGAACTGGGCGATGCGGGGAGGGAAGTGGTGCCGCCGAGAGCGATGGCGGGGACACCAAACACAGGCTGACTCTCCCCAGCGTCCTCTGTGCTCCCCAGGGACCCGCAAGCACAGCTCGTCCCAGGCCAGGCCGAGGGAGAGGCCGTTGGCCCCCTGCCTCCCCCAACTCCCGCCGTAGTTTCCTCAGCATCCGATGCAGCCACGGCCTGCGCACAGTAGGGTCTCCATAAATATTTAGACGGTGGTCAGATATAGCAAAGAGGTCAAGAAGGGGCCAAAGAGCGGGGCGAAGCTGTCAGGGCCCCCCTACGGCGCAGCTGCGGTTCCGTGAGGAGGGGAGGCGCGGGCGTGGACCGGGGCTTCCCCGCGAGGGGCCCGCTCGGCCCCGAGGGCTTGGTCCTCCGCCGGAAACCTGACCGCCGGTCACCTCCCCTCAGGCCAGTACCTGGACATCCTGGCCATCTCCTGCGACAGCTTCGACGAAGACGTCAACGTCCTGATCGGCCGTGGCCAGGGCAAGATCAACCACGTGGAGAACCTGCGGAAGCTGCGGCGGTGGTGCCGGGACTACCGCGTGGCCTTCAAGATCAACTCCGTCATCAACCGCTTCAACGTGGACCAGGACATGCGGGAGCACATTAAGGAGCTGAACCCCGTCCGCTGGAAGGTGAGCCGGTGCCGTCGGGGTGGGCGCCGCGGGCGCAGGAGGAGCGGTGCCCCTCCCAAGGCGCTCCCAGGCCCCGAGGCCAAGAGCGGAGGATGTCAAAGGCGGGGGAGCCCAGGACCAGGGGTGGCGGGGCAGGGAGAGAGCGAGCAAAGGAGGGAAGACTCGGGGCGTTTAGAATTACCTCCCGGATGCTGAAAACGTACTTAAATGCCGCGTAGAAGCCCCTTTACCTGAAGACCCTGCGGACCCGGGCCGCGTGCTGGCTGCCTTTGGTCAGCTGTCACCGGCTGTCACCTTGACAGTTGCCTGGGACTGAGTTTTCCCTTTTCAGATGACGTGCTCCTTACGATGGGCAATACATCTCCCTCTCCTCTCACACAAACACCCCGATTTATTTACTCAAAACAAGGGTGAAAAAGACGATTAATGGCTTTGGAAATTGTCCTTTTATATTAACTGCAAAACCAATACATGCTAGAGGCCTTAATAAGGGGACACTAAACCCCGACCGCAAGGCGGCATTTCGAAAATACCTATTCCTTGGTTTGGGGATTACAGGCGATCGGCTTATCTTCTGGGTGTTTCTGTACGGTCCGTGTATCCTTCAGTGAGCCTTTTAATTATTTGGTTGTCCAAAAAAAAAAAAAAAAATCAGATCATAAGACTGGATCAAACGTCACCTAGAGCAGCGTTTCCTTCTACGTTTCAAGGGTATCTGTGCTTTCTCAGTGCCAGGGCCAGCTTTCCTGTGCCCGGGGCAACGTCTTTCTAGACTGCCCCTCAGTTTGAGGCGTCCGCTCAGGAGAGATGACGCCTGGGCCGGGGAAAATGAGGTTTGGGGTAAAAAATGATGGAGCCCTGGCCAGTGAGGCTCAGTGGTTAGAGAGTCAGCCCATGCGCCAAAGGGTCTCGGGTTCGATTCTCCATCAAGGGCCCCTACCTGGGTTGCAGGTTCGATCTCCAGCCCCGGTCGGAGCATGTGGGAGGCAGC